GACAGGGTCAAGAGAAAGAATAGAATAAATGGGAGGGCAGGATAGGGTTAAGGGAAATAGAGTTAGTTTTTCACATGTCTACTATGGAAGTGTTTTGCATAACTGCACATGTATAACCTATATTGAGTTGTTTGCCTTTTCAATAAGGTGGATGGGGAGGGAGGAAGAAAGAAAATTTGAAACCTAAAGGTTTAAAAACGTATGTTTAAAAAAAATGTTTTCACATACTACTGGGAAATACAAAATACAGGAGATGGGGTATAGAAGTCTATCCTGCCCTACAGGAAAATAGAAGGGGAAGAGGATAAGAGAAGTGGGGAGAGACAGAAGATAGGACAGACTAGGGGAAGGGATATTCAGAATGCATGCCATCTTGGGGTGGGGAGAGGGGTGAGATGGGATGAAAATTTGGAACTCAAAAATTTGTGGAAGTGAATGTTGAAAACTAAAAATAAATAAATTTATATAAAAAATACATATATACTTACAACTTCACTAATGTGAAAATATGTTTAATAGGAATGTAAATGTATAGCCTATATCAGATTGTGCGCTGTCTTGGGGAGGGTGGTGGGGAGGAAGGAGGAGAAAAATTTTAAACTTAAAAGCATATGGAAGTGATTGTTGATAAATCAAAATAAATTAATAAAATTTTTTTAAAAATGAATTTGTAGTGAACTTCCAATTATCTATTCTAATGTGAAATTATCAATAAATTCTTAATCTAAAATATTTATTTTAGCTATCAATTTTGGGGGCTTTTTAATATAAGTTTTTATCAGAGTTGCTAAGAAATACACTTACTTAATTGTCAGGATCACAGGATCAAACACTTAAGGCTACAAAAAATATTAGAGATCATCTAGCCCAATATCCTCATCTTACAGATGATAAAATGACTTGCCCAATGTCACACAAATATGTGGCAGAGCCCAGGATTTGAACTCAGTTCCTCTCCCTACAGTTTCAGTGTTCTTTCTACTATCCCAGAATGCCTCCCAGTACTCCAAGAGCTAAGTAGGAAAAAAAGATTGTTGTTGAAATTGACTTCACAATATTTTAACTATTCACATATTCACAGGATTTAAAGTCAATTTCAACATCTCTCCTTTTTCCTTCTTACCTATGAGAGTCTAATGCAAAGGTAACACTCAAATGCGGGTCAATGGCAAAGAGAAAATAAAAGGAAAAGCCTGAATGACTGAAAAACATTAACCTAATTTATAGTCAGTCTCTGAAACACAAAAGTTGATTGTAATGTGTGTAAAGTATTTTTTAATAGAATTCTGAAAAATAAAGGAAACTTTTGTTTGGCAAAATGAACAAAGTCCCTGGAACTACCATTGCAAAATTTTAGCTGAAGCTACAAAATTCTAACTGGAATCATTATAAAGCTAGTTCTGGGCTTATGAATAATTAATAGATATCTATATCTTATTTATTTGCTCTAAATAGTGGTAAAATAAATCCTTATAGTGAATTTAAATTTTTGAGAAAGGGAAGAGTTTTGCAGTATTTAATATATAGGCTTTCTTGAAATGGCTTTATATTCTAAATCCTCTCCTATGTTCTGCTGTGCATACGACATGTTTTTTTTCTTATTTTATATTTAAGTTTATGATATGTTTCTTTTTCTTTTCTTATTATGTAAGTTTTAGTATTTGTCTAAAATTTTAAAAAGATAAAAATAAGGAAAAAAGAACAAAAACACAATATATATATATATATATATATATATATATATATATATATATAAAATAAAAAAGACTAAAATAAAGAAGAAAAAAAAAAGAAGAGTTAAAACATCTTTTGCAGTTAAATTCAATAGAGGCCTGAATATGACCAAGAGCTGAAAGGTTTTCATTCTCATTTTTTAAGCAAATGCTAATCCTTCAAATATATGGTATTCATGGTTATTTTCTAATGTACAGCAGGACTAGTATATTAATTCTGTCTTAAGTATTAAGTATTTAAATTGGTCCTTAAGATATTATAACTAGTAAGCTGTGGGCCCTTTTTATGTGGAAATTAATTTATTTCAATATAAATAACTTTCAAGTGTATATATAACATGTTCTATAGATGTTTGAAGTATGTAATAAGTCATTTAAATGAACAGCTTGATAAAATTAATCAACTATTATTAGAGTACAGGTTTATGAGTAAACAAAACATTATATAAACACTAAAGTGATGCTTGAAAAGATTAGAAAAATCACAGTATCCTAAAGTTAGAAAGGCGCTCAGAGGTCATCTAACTTCAACTCATATTTAAGCAAGAATCTCATCTAAAATAAAGCCAACATGTAGTCCTCTCTTCTTTACTTAAAGACTACCAGTGAGGCAGGAATCCTTTCCAGCAAAGTGAAGGGTGGTCCATTTCACGTTTGGACAGCTCTAATTGTCAGAAAGGTTTCTTAAACATCAAACCAAAAATTACATCTGCAACTTCTACCCACTACTCCTAGTTTGACCCTCTGTGTCCCAGTTAAAAGCACAATATACAACAAGAAGCTTTAGCATTTAAATTACATTAAACTTAATGAGACATTTTACAAAATTCTATCTGAAATCATCAATTTATCTTGCCCTGAGTAGCACTAAGGCATTAGCAACATCCCTGGGAAGCCACACGGAAGGAAGAGATTGGAAAACGGGGGGAAAAGTTACATGAAATAAGAGATTTTTCAAAAACAGAAGGGAAGGACGGTTTTTCATACCACACAGCTTCTCGAAGACACTGGCAATCTTCCAAACAAGAAAACATCTCATTATTTATACTTTTTAAAGAATCATGAAAAAAGAATCACACAGCTTGAAAAACTATGACAGAGATGGGCTCAATACTAATGGAGCCTTAGAAACAGCTAAACTAAACAATGTATAAATATATGGTATATTGAAATATTTAATAATATTTAAATATCTAGTATTATAATACCAATATAACATGTTATTAAATGTAATAAATCATCAAATATTTAATATACATTTAAATGTGAAAGTTATTCTATTTACATTTCTATTATCAAAGTTGAGCAATTATACCTTTAAGTAAAATTTTTTGTGGTCACCAAAGTTACTACTCTTCTGCTCTAAATATAAGCCCTTATTTCCACAGGTATATTCAAATTTCTTAAGTCCTATGATTCACGCCCACAGAGTTAAGATATATTAATACTTTGAAATACAGAGGTGATCAAGGCATAAAATATGGCAAGCAAAGGAATATTCAGCATTTAAATTGAATTCTGAACAGAAGAATAGTTCATAAAGTCAATATCCCATTTTAGGCATCACCTAACCTACATTAGTCATAAGCAATAATGTACAGTAAAGCATCATTAATTCAAACCTAATTCAGAATTTGAAAAGCTATAATTTACTTTTTCACTGAGAAAGTTTTGTCGAGCAAGTTAAAAGCATAAATAATTTCATGTAGAAATATGCTTACGTTTAAGGGAACATATACATTTCAAACACCTGTGTAATCATGACAATAACTCTGGATTTGAAGTCAGAGAAGCTGAACTCAACTGGGTTCCATTACTGTATGACCCCAGGCAAGTTTCAGTTCATTGTTCTGGACCTCAGTTTCTCCATCTGTGAAGACTAACTGGTCTCTAAACATATTTTCTAAATCCTATATTGTAAAATAAACTTTATAGCTCTCCTGTTGCAATTAAGCAGATATAGTGTGGACATGCTTATCAATCTCCCAAGAATTCATGGACACTGACTGATTATAGAATGAGACAGGTCTTATTTGGATGTGGAGAATGTTGGAATTTGTTTTGCTTAACTACACATTTTTGTTAAAGGGGGCTGGTTTTTTTTCCAATGAAGGGAGTAGTACAAAAGAAACTAGATTTTTGCCTATGTTCTGCAGCTAAGAGTAGATACAGAGTGCTGGACCAGGAGTCAGGAAAACCTGAATTTCAATCTGGCTTCAGACACTTATTAGTTGTGTGACCCTGAGGCAAGTAACTAAATTTCTGAATGCCTGTGTTTCCTCATCCATAAAATGGGGATAATAATAGCAGCACCTACCTCCCAAGATTGTCGTGAGGAAAAAAAAATCATATTTATAAAGTGCTTTTGCAAACCTTAAAGTGCTATATAAACATATTATTAATTGATTATATTGAAAAAATTGAATTAAAAATAAGGATTATATAACTATATATTGCTTACTAATAATTCTTCTATTTAGATCTCTATTATGCACTATTTTACGCCTATTTTAAATTATAATAATTTTAAAATACAACATTTCTTTCAATTTTTAATTTAGATTCTTCAGTAATTCAGTCTGGTCTTCTCCCTATTTAGTTTGAATTAATGAAGTTTTACTCATTAACACGTATACATATGTGTACACGTATGTGTATGTGTGTATATGTGTGTGTGTGTGTGTACACATATATATATATATATACACATATATAGATGAATGAATAAATAAAAAAGAATTTACTAAGGGATTATTATTTGCAAAGTACTATGCCAAGCACTAAGGATACAAACAGAAAAGGCACAAAGTCCTTGCTTTCGAGGAGCTCACTTTTTTTTTTTTGGTGAGGCATTTGGGGTTAAGTGACCTGCCCAGAGTCACATAGCTAGTAAATGTCAAGTGTCTGAGGTAGGATTTGAACGCAGGTCCTCTTGACTCCAAGACCCGGAGCTCTATGCACTGTACCACCTAGCTGTCCCAAGCTCACATTCTAAACAAGGAGACAACACAATATATATTTCAGTACTCAATAACTGAAATAACTTCAGTGTTAATGTAACTAAAATATAGCATGTGAAATTCTAAACAGTTGAAGGAAAATGAGTTAGTAATTCCTGTTTACCATTAATTCAACTGCAATATATCAAGTACAACCATCACAATTTGCCACTTGCTATCTAAATATTTTCCTTATAAAATTTGATTTTTTAGAATATCTCAGTATTAAAACAAAGCTTTTGCAACTTCTTCCTCACAAATTGCTTACCTGAATATATTTTCTTTGTGTCTCATCATTTAGAACATGTGCAACATGCTTGGAAAAAATCTTTTCTCGACCAGTTCTGGCATGGATACCAACCATAGTGACTCCAATAGGCCATGGAGCATTTCCGATGGCCATCTGAAGATAAGCATCATTGGCCTATAAAGAATTGAGTTGTTAGTGAGAAAAAAAGGCAAAATATTTTGTGTAGTTATTGATTTTTCGATGATTTAATAACACTTTAGATACAATTATTTAAATGTTTTATGCCATTCTCTGTATATGTGTATAAATACATAAAATACTGTTATCACATATGCTTTAGTTTTGGTTTAGAATGATTACAGAACTTGCTCAAGGCCACAATCAATAGCAAAAATGGAAATTGGACAAGTGTTTATGTATACAAGATGAATACTTCTTTGCATTGTTTTTTGCTATGGAGTTTAATGTCCTTTTCATATCTGGAATGAAAGAGGCAATTTAATGCACTGCTAGATATTCTAATTTAAGTCTCTTCAAAAACTATTTCCTCTACAGGTGTTTATACAGGGATATAGCATCTAATTAGTTTTTCCTAATCCAACTTGAAGATGTAGCTGTTCCCTGAAATGGAATTCTCAACAAAACCTGTGGGTGTTCTATGCATAGGATGAAGTTCCTAACAAGTAGGTAAAGATAGAGGCCCACAAATAAAATTCCTAAATACTGAATTAGCTTCATTTTGGTCTCAAAAGCCCTATACTCCCCAAACCCTAAAACCAAATCTATCCCATCTAAATTGAAGAAAATGATTAATTACTATAATGTAGAATTTCCCCCCCTTTTTGGGGGTGGGGGTGGGGGTGGGAGGGTGCTTGGAGGTAAAACAGTTCTAGCCGTCTGTGGAGGAAAAAACACAAACCAGAAAGCAGAGAAGCAAATCTTAAATATCTGACCTTGCCAGTTTTCGAAAAGCTTATCTAACTAAACCTCAAAAGAGTCTTAATAATTACATGTGAGAGGCAGTGTAGCATGAAAGACAGAGAGCCAAGTTTAAGTCAAGAAGACCTGGGTCAAAATGACCTTAGGAAAGTCACTTGGCCACTCAGGTGCAAAGCAACTGCCAATTCATGTTGCCAGAGGGAGGTTCTTCATGGGCAATTCCCATATCGACAAAGTCATAGTTCCAATTCAAAATTTTTAAAGGCTCAAAATCTGCTAGATTTAAAATGCAGAGGAAAAAAACAAAAAAGTACAGAAGATTGGCAAATACAGCAATTACTACACTGCTAAATTTAATGTGGGTGCTACATATACACACTCACACTATGTGTCCATGTTAAATACATAAATTAAATATGCATATTGTATTTATAAACTATACATAACAAAAGTTGTTTTTATACAAGTTTGTTTCTTGCATTTGTTTCTTAGTGATTAAGTTCACAACAAAGTTTGTTTTTTTTTAATATGCCAAATGTATACAAACCAATTGCTACAAATAGGGTAAAACTCAGAGCTCATTTTATAGAAAATGATTTTGTCAGAATGAAAATAGTTAAACTTGCTCTAGGTAAACAGGTTTTATGAGGCTTAAAAAAGGACATGGATGTTTTCTTAAATAACTCAGCACTTTATCACAGGTACTCACATGTATAATTTCAACAATGGAGGTCAACTGATGGAAATTTCAGTACTTACATTTCAGCACACTACAAAACAAACTAGTTTAAATGTTCAAATTAGGTTCTCTTTGTTTTTATGAAGTAAATACAAAGTTAACCAAATAATCAGATACCAAATTCTCGGTATTTAATACTGGGAAAAGTCTGCAAGATGATAAGCCACACATTTTCCATTAGGTAATTAAAAATAATATGCCTTAGAAAAGGCATGCATCATTTAAGTTATTCAGTAATTTATCACAGGTCTTCATATACGTTCATGTGAAGTAACAGATCCATACTCCCTATCCCAGGGACCCTAGAATATCAAAGTCCTCTCACAAACTCCAAATCTGCTGGATTCTTGGAATAAGGCAGATCAGTGGGTAGAGGGAAGAAGATGGTCCCACACACAGTGTTTAATAAATGCTTACTGAATTGAGAAAAAGAAGTGCTCTGGTCTATGGAACTATAGTGTGGGAGATTGTGGTCCTGGAATCCTCAGATGGAATTTGAAAATTATTTCACATAGAAGCATGCAATAAATAACGATTAGGTATTGTAGTACAATTATACCAGTAATTCAACATTAGGTAGGCATTTGTGTACTGGCCTGGAAATAACTAACATTCGTAGCATTGTTGCTATGTAAAAAATGTTTCCAATTTCAAATTATTGACTTAAGAACAAACTTTCAAAATGTAACCTGTTTGTTTACATATGTTTGTATACTGTTCACAGACTCAAAAATCCTCAGAAACGCTGCCTGATTTTTTTCAAAGAATGAACACCACAGCTAAGATTTTGGTCTTAATTCATATCAAGCTTTATCAATCAATTTCTCCCCATCTTTATATCAAATATCCATTCAATTCAACAAATACTTATTAAACACCTACTACATGAAAGGCACTACACAAACAAAACAGCCCCGGCCCTCAAAAATCTTCCCTTTTTATGACAGTGAAGGTGTGGGTCATGCACACAAAAAAAAGAATACAAGGAACAATTTAAGAAGAAAAAAATCATCAACAGTTGAGATGTGCCTCTGGCATCCGGGCCAAGTCCTGAAGGAGTGTGGCATTCTTTGCACACAAGATGACTTGTGCAAGTGCACATAAATGGGAGGTAATGTCTCAAATCTGGGCAATAGCCAGCAGGGACAGCTAGGCCAAAATATCATTGTGAGCAGCAAAGTTGAAGAGCTGACTTTTAAGTGTGACCAGCCGATTTTCATATCTATGCCAATTATCTCATAAAGATCCCCCTAATCCTAAGCAAAATGAATGCTGTGAAGTACCTAATCCAGACATGCTGCTAATCACAACTTCAATCCCCAGCATGAGGTATCTACCTTTCATACCTTCACATATTCTCTCTGCAACATGAATTTAATAATGTCTGTTATTGATTCTTTAATGTCGGCAGGAAGAGTCTGAAAAGAAAAAATGAGGTGATCAATTTGGGAATCCATTCAGTGTCCTAAGAAAGAACATTTATTCCGAAAAGAGAAAATTTGAGTTCTACCAAACATCAGCAGAAGTACTGTCAATAGATGTCTCTTACCCTTTTTCGCAGTTTTCTGAAAAGGGGTCTCAAATATGATTCCGTCTGCTTTTGAGTGGCACTGTTCAGTTTGCCCTGTACACTGCGTTTTACATAGTCTTCTCTGGCATTGAGTTCTTTAGCCCAAACTCCAAGGAGAAACTGTAAAGAGAATGGGTAGATTTATACCACATTGCCACCTACTGGTCAAAGACATGAAACACACACAAGACACAAGAAATTAAGAGCACTAATTTTTATTAACTATATTTTATTAATATTTTAGTACCTACTCAACTATTTACAACGCCACCATGATGAAGCATGCTTCGATGACCTGTGTTGTCCTCAGTGTGGGTATTCTCTCCACTGATGAAGATTGCAACTCTCCTATGCCTTCAGAGAAGCAATCCGGGAGAGCCAACAACATGCTACAAGGCTGGGCTCATGTCTCTGACACTAGCAATGTGATCAGGGGCAAAGACACAACATCAGAGTTCAGTCAACCAACAAGCACTAATTAAGTGTTTACTATGTACCAAGCACTGTGCTAAGTGCCAGGGACACAAAGAAAAGCAAATAGTGCTCCTGCCCTCAAGGAGCTCACAATCTAATGGAGAAAACAACATGCAAATGGCTATGCACAAGCAAGCTGTATGTAGGATAAACTAGAGGTAATCTTGGAGGGAATCTATTAGCTCTGAAGGGGAACAAGAGAGGCTTCTTGCAGATGGTGAGATTTTAGCTAAGACCTGAAGGAAGCCAGGGAAAGTGAGGAAGGAGGTGGTAATGAGGAGGGAGAGAATTCCAGGCACGGGGGCAGCCAGTAAAAACGTGCTGAGAGATGGAGTATCTCATTCCAGAAAGACCAAGGAGAGCCAGTGTCACTGGATCATAGAGTAAGTGGAAGGGAGTAACTTAATAAGAAGACTGGAATGGTAAGAAGGGACTAGGTTATATAAAGAGCTTTAAAAGTCAAACAGGATGGGGAGTGAAGAAAGTGAAGACTGACGTGACCATACCTACACTTCCTAAGTTCACTTTGAAAGCTGAGTGGACAATGGAGTCCAGTAGGGAGAGACAGGACACAGAGAGATCAACCAGACGACTGCTGTCTAGGTATGAGGTGATGGGGCTAACAATAAAAATAATCCTTTGAGTTTTGTATTACAAATGAGGCTCAAATGAGGTGGTATAGGTAGTGGACTAAATAATTGTTAGCTAGGAGAAGATGGTCTTCAAGGGGTATGATGGCCAAAAATATCAGCCTGGTGGTTAGCCTCTAAAACTTAACCAAATTAGTTCACAAACAATTAACCTCCAATTCTTTCTTAGATCAATACTCAAAGCATGTAGTAGGGCCTCGTAGAACTTGCCAGAGTTGAAGCTCCTCTAAAATAGCCTTTAAGAGCCCACTGCCACTTCCATGCCATAAAATAGCAAAGAATTTTACTGGTGGATCATCAAATACTCTTCTTTTTTTCACCTTATATATTTTATACTACTCAGCAAGCCCTGAAGATTTACTGATAATGTGGGCATGTGTTTCTGCACATACATACACATGCATAAACACACATGTGTATGTAATGTATATCCCTTTACTAACTTATCTTCCTACCTCCTCCTACCTTAGCATTTTCTCCATACAATCACCTTTCTTGTTTTGTTTTCTTTTTGTTGTTGTTAGGCAATTGGGGTTAAGTGACTTTTCCAAGGTCACACAGCTAGTAAGTGTCAAGTGTTTGGTCTGAGGCCAGTTTTGAACTGACTTCAAGGCCGGTGCTCTATCCACTGCACCACCTAGCTGCCCAATCACCTTTCTTCCACATGATTCCAAGCCTAGCACAAAGTAGGTGCTTAATCTATTTTTAAGGGGCAGCTAGGTGGCGCAATGGCTGGAGTGCTAAGCCTGGAGTCAGGAATACCTGAGTTCAAATACGACCTCAGATATTTCCTAGCTGTGTGACCCTGGGCAAGTCATGTAGCCCTGTTTGCTTCAGTTCCTCATCTGTAAAATGGGGACACACTGGAGAAGGAAATGGCAAACCACTCCATTATCTTTGCCAAGAAAACCACATAGACTTTGTCCATGGGGTCACATGACTTCGTGTGTCAGTAGACAACTGAATGGCTGAACAAAAAGAAAATAAATGTTTACTGAATTGAATTCTCAGTCAAAATTTCTTCTCCTACATTCTTTCCAATTTAAATAGAAAAAGAGAATCCCTCTACAATAAGAAAATATTTTTAAAAACTTATGGGAAAAAAGCTATGTATACTGTTGGATAAAAATAGCATTCTACATCCTTGTTTTCTTGCTCATACTGTTGCTATTTTATTTTGTATGTATCTATATTAATGCACCCATCTTTGAATAAAATTTCATGAAAGCAAACAGTAGGTGTTTTCTTTGACTATCAAGCTTTCTATCCAAGTACCTCCTTGCATCACACATATAGTTAACATTCAACAGCTATATGTCTTGGTAACAACTCACTTAACCTCTCTCAACATCAGTTTCCTCATCTGTAAAAGGGAAATAATAATAGTATTTACCTAACAAGGTTGATTTGAAAATAAAGTGAGATAATTAATCATTTTGTAAACCTGAAAACACTACATAAAAGTCAGCTATTATTTTTATAGATGACTACTTTCCTCCCAAGTCTTAAAAACCCAATGATCTGAAAACACAGAGTTCTCAGCCCACCAAAGTGTCATCAATCTGTAAGCACAAAAGGATATTACCTTAAGAAATTTTGTTATGATGTCCATGTCTTTATGATCATCCCCCTTTCCTAAGGACTCTCCCAATGCCTAAGGGAAGAAAATAAAAAGTGCTCCTAACTTTTAGTAGAGAGCAAAAGGCAAAGTGCAGAGCTTATCTATATATATAGTCTAAAATATGAGAAGAACATGAAGTTAGCTTTACATTAATAAATCTGTTCAATATTGCTTGTTTTCAAATCTGACAGAATTTCAAAATAAGCATAAAAGACTTTCCTACTAAAAATTTTAAAAACAAAATATGTTTAAAATACACACATACATACAAAGCTGGTTTTTAAACACACACCATTTCAAATTTTGATGTTATATATAGCTCCATAAGAAAAACGCTTACTGAAAATTCATTTCAACACTGACACATCTCCTAGACCTACACGGTACTACAGTAGTTATTAAAGGAATAAAAAGAAATTTACACTTTAAAATTTACACTTCTGGTACATCAAAATCACTGAGTTTTAAAAGGAGACACATATGTCTTGTAAATAAATAATTGCTACAGAACAATTCAATTTCATTAATTTTTACAGAGATTACCTCTAATTCTTCAATAGTGGTGTTTTCTTCATGGACTTTCAGATCATTCTGGGTGTCCTCTTCTCCTGGTTCTTGACCACCAACAATTTCATTAAGGTATTGTTGATCAATCTTATCCAAAGCTGCCTTCAAGTCATTCCTCAAACCCTAGGAACAGTGAAAAGGAAAATGTCATTAACACTAAATTTCACTAAGGAAGTTTCACCTTTAGTTTTTATTAGTTATATCAGGTTAGTAAGTGATTTTAATTAGATTAATTAAACCACACTAGCAAGTACAAATTCTGTGTGTATTTTTTTAAAACAAATTTAAGAGAAAGGATTCAAAAGTCTGAATAAACTAAACTGAAGAAAGTGATTCAAATAAGAATCAAACTTGTTGTAACAGTTATCATTATTGGCCTCAGAGTTAACTTTTTTAAGCATATATGGACTTGAAGGAATAGCTGGTCAATACGGATGCATACTTTTTGGTAGGAGAGGTTTATGCTAATGTCAACGTGATGGCTGGACAAAAGAAAAGTATCATGAGAGCTAAAATCTAAGCAATCATCTTCATGATCGAATTTATAGAAATCTCCCAAGGAATAGAGACCCAAAGTCTCTACTGGTTGGGCCTTCTCACACATTTTCTACTTTAAATTTGATATACCTTGCGTTTTTTTATACCAGTCATTTTTCAGGCCCCTACCTCAACCGGATAGAGCACCTTCTCTCAACCCACGGACTACATCTGAGATGATGGGCAACATTACACATTGGCTGTCCTCTCCTCATTTTCCTAAGTCCCTTTTCTCCTTTCAAAACAAATTCCTTGCCCGTCCATCATAAAGCACGCAGAACCATCTCTTGGATGTCACAGGGCTCTACTCTTGAGTACCCAACTATGAAAGATTGATAGATTTTTAGCATATGGTTGAGGAGAAAATATGGAGAAATGTTGAACTAGATGACAGAACTGTAGATGCACTTGCATCTGGTTGAAAAATCTTAGGGAACTTAGGAAAGTTCACTATTTTTAGTGAACTGCTATTAGCCGGGAAAGAAGACATCCATAATAAGATAAATAGTTTCATGGTATTCTACACTAGTCAGTCTACCACTGTGTTTCATTCTAGAACATTTTAAAAGGTACACTGGCAAACTAGAAGAGAATAACCAGAACAATGATAAGTCTGTAAAGTATGTCATAGAAGAAATGGTTAAAAGGGCTGGGGGTATTTAGCCTGGAAAAAAAATAAGTATGTTGCAAGGTGGGGAGGGCTTACAAGAAATAAGAGTCATCTTCAAACACTTGGAAAGGTTGGTATTTGGAATAAAGATTAAATTTATTCTATATAACTAAGAAAGAACTAGGACAAATGACTAAGAGGAAAGGAAACTTTAGCTCAATTTAAGGAAGAATTTTTCTAATAATCAAAACAGTCAAAAAATAAAAACAAGGAACTCATCTAGCTTTAATGAGTTTCCTGTCATTAAAAGTATCCAAGCAAAAGCTGGGTATTAGGAAGCTGTATAGGGGAGCTAAGAAGTTGGGCAAAATATTTAAGATCCCTTTTAATTCTACTTGGTAAACAATATACATTACCCTACCCATGCACTAAACTTATCCCCTAAAATTAGAGAGTTATAGAGAAGAATATGTGAAGGCATCCACTTCCACTGTACCGTCCTTTTACAAAAGTGGAATAGTGAGAAGTAAATAGCAGGCATCCTGTTTGGCTGTCAAAGGATCAGATCCACCAGAGAACATGACAGAGACAAAAAAGAAAACTTCACTGTGATGCTCTAGAGCTGTCTATGGAGCACAGCTAGGGCCAGGGAAATATTCTGATGACGTTCTAAGAGCCACTGCCATGATCAAAATTGAATTTGCCACCAATGACAGGGTGATCAGTACATCAACACACACACACACACACACACACACACACACACACACACATGAAAATGAAGTTTTATACATTCTACACATTGCTTTACTCTGTTCACATAACCTATTATTTATATATGGAACACTAGCATTTATTTGGTTCTCATCTATCAACTTACCTTGTTAACCTCTGGTGTGAGAATCTCGATCTTTCTTAAACGTTGAAATGCATCATAATCCGTTTCTCCAAACAATCTAACTGGTTCTCCCCTTTCTCTCAATCGCCTAATGACCTAAAAAAAAGGGCAAAGAAGAAAAAAAACCCTAAAGTTTAATAAATTATTCAAGTTTTTAAGATAAGAGTATAAATACTTAAGCCAAACTTGTATGAACCGCATTTTTCCTATTTTAAATAAAAAACGTTTAAAAATGTTAGGCTCTCATGTGGTGAACAGAGCATTGGCCTTGGAGTCAGGAAAATCTGGGTTCATGTCCTGTCTCTAACATATACTAGCTGTGCAACCTGGAACAAGTTGCTTCAGTTCTCACTGGCCCAGGCAGCTCTTTCAAGGTTCTAAGTGAAGGAACAGTTGGCAATCTGCCTTGGTGGAAGGATTTGCTCACCAAAAACTTCTTATATGGATGAAATAATAGATTCAGTCCAAAAAAATAACAGTAACAAATAATAATGTTACAAAAAAGCAATGGAGTGCAACACATTTTTTGCAGATTGTAAAAACGTAGCACCTACCAAATAGCTAGGAACAGATGACCGAATGGCCAAAATTACTCACCTCATAATTTTGATGGGCTGGCAAATCTTTCCACACTACAAATGCAGACATTATATTCTGCGGATTCTATCGATAAATTGTCCTGAACTAGACCACTGTTTAGTCATTTCAGTTGTGTCTGACTCTCAATGATCCCATTTGGGGTTTTCTTGGCAAAAATACTGGAGTGGTTTGCCATTTCCTTCTCCAATTCATTTTACTGATGAGGAACTGAGGCAAACAGGGGTAAGTGATTTGCTCAGGGTCACAAGCTAATAATTGTCTAATGCCAGACTTGAATTTGGGTCTCCCTCACTCCAGATCTGGTGCTTTATCCATTGTACCACCTAGGCACCTTAGATACAGACCAAAATATTCCAATTACCCTGACATAACACTGGTTCATAAAAATTTATAAACAATATTTTTAACAGATGTCACCACCCTCAATATTCATGATCTCCAAGCTATGTGAAACAAAAAGTTTTCCAGGTAGAGACTTTTCTAAGGAGAAAAAAGTCATGTGGACCAGAACAAGAAGCCTAATTCCTGCTGTCCTGTCTGCTGGTCCTATGTGATTCTGATGGTCATTCCTTGGTCTAGAGCTGCTTCTTTTGAATTAATACATAGTAACTAAATAGTGTCAGTAATCTTGCACCTTGACCTGTGGTTATATCCCTTGGACCTCTGGCCACTGACCCTTCCCTGGGCTGGCTCAGTCCAGCCTTTTTCCCCTGGCTTTTAATCTCCCAGATTATGACCGTGGGGAATTTGGCAAGATGCTTTCAGTGAGCCTATAGAGAATGAATCATATCCTAATACTTTTATTCAAAACAAAAACCAGTTCTTTTACACACTTGTGCAATGGTCCATACAAGTTTGAATATAAAGGAGTAAGAGCAGGGATAGTGACCTGTCATAGGACTTTCTGTCTGAACCCCATGAAAAAAGTAAAAATGAGATGATAACAATAATAAATTAAGCACAATTCTTTTCATTTTAAAATAAAATCTAAAATGAATAAGGCTAATTTAAATACTCAAAACTAAATATTAAGTAATCAAGTATTTTTTCAACTCCCCTTTGCACCTGCTGCTTTGCTACGTTTCAACTCCATGGAACGAGACGCCCCCCCGAGAATAAGCTCCTCACTTCTAGACACACCATCACGCTGCTTGTCAAGCTTTGACAGACACCACCTACTTCTGCCTCCTCTCCCCTCAGACTGGAGGCCTGGAGGGCAGAGTACCAAACTCCTCCTTCAAAGAGAGCCAAAATTGGCCTCTCAACTCATTCCACTTTGCATCTGCTTTCCTGCCTGGTTTTAACTCCACTGAACAAGATAAGAAGTTCTCTTGGCATTCTCTCCTTCACCTCCCAGCTTTCCTGTCTCCTTTGGTGTGTAGTCTCCAAAGATTGTAAGCTTCTTGAGGGCAGGCACTGTCTTTCTTTTTATTAATTATATCCTTACAGTGTAGCATTGCCTGAAAATAGTAGGTATTTAATAAATGTTCACTGGATTTTTTTTATTACGTCATTCTGGCTCAAAAACTTATGAAATCTTTTCTTACGTAGATCCTATAGAATGAAAAAGGAAGCTAAAATGATTCAAATTTAATTTTGACAAATCCTTAAATATAAATCATAATTTTCAAGACAACCAAAGAGGTATGAAATGCATTGAGAATGAAAAAAGGGTCATTTTAGAATAATTACTATCAACCTTATTACAGAGCTAAGTATTCTTTTTAAATACAATTCCTGAACAAACTCTAGTCTTTTACATTAGTAAATTCTACAAGGTGAAAGAATATGACTGTCCCATTGTTACTAAAATTATATTGCCATATATTTTTTAATTAAACATGCTGCAGAAGTACAAAAGAAGTAAATTTTATTATGTCTATAAAGAAAGAAATCCATTTATTCTATGTCTTCAAAAACCATATCTTGGTAGAAAAAAAATCATAGCTTTTTAAAAAAATATGAAAAGGCAAAGGCTCTGTGACTATGCAAAAGATTCTCAGCCCCAGCCTCCACCAACAGATCCTGACCCCTTCCTCACTGAGTTGCTGAGGTACTTGCCACAGATCACACAGCTGCTGGAATATAAGACTACCTGACTTACAAGCCAAATGCTCTGTGCACTACAACGACCTCCTTTACGACGTCTTTTTAAATCTAAATTATTTTCCATTTTAATGCTACATTAATACTAATATGAGAAGTAGCATAGCATAATAAAGTACTAGCCTTGGAGAGAGTAAGACCTAGGTCCAAATCTGGCCACTGACACATCGTAGCAATATAACCTACTCATACTTGATGGGCCTCAAGTAGTCCTCTGCTACAATCTGACTCAGTGGAGTGAGTTCTCACGTTGAAAAAATAAGGAACCTTTGATAAACTGTCAAAAAAAAAACCTAAAAATCATATTAACCACTATAAGGAATAATCATCAAACCAATACCACTTTTTTAAAAACCAAACTCATTTTTTAAAAATTGATCAGGGTATATGATGACTACAGAAAAGCTTGGAAAAAGTTACATAAACCAACAGAAAATGAAATAAGCAGAACCAGGAAATAAATAAACAATAACAATGTAAATAGGAAAAAACACAAGGCACTTGAAATGGAATACTGTGAAATTATAATGACCAAGCTTGGCCTCAAAGAGGAGAAATGAGAAAGCACCTTTTCCCTTACCTCCCACTCCAAGCTTCTTTGTGGAGAGGGGGCGCTATGAGTGTAGAACACTCCCCATGTCAGACTTCTTTGACAGTTTGTTTAGTTTTGTTGAACTGATTTTTTTCTTTCTTTATTCTTTGTCATAAGGGAGTGAAGGAGAAAAATATTTGTAAATGTGTGATGTAAAAGAAAAGATATCAATAAAAATTTATTTTAAGAAAACATTGGGATGCAGAAGTGATATGGTATGGTGGAAAGAGAACTGGATTTGCAGTCATAGGACTTTATTACCTGAACAGCCTTGGGAAGTCATTATCTCCCTGGGCTTTAAGTTCCTTTATAAAAAGGAGGATTGCACTAAATAATGTTAAACATCCTTTTTAGCTGGCAAATACTATAACTCTATATAACATCATCTGAGTAGCATCCACTAAATCAAAGAATCTTAAAGAGAAACAATCTCATTGGTCATATCCCTGACTTATGACCCAGTCTCTGCTTAAATATTTTTATTCTGTTTTTAAAGTTAGTCTACTTAACTATTCAGAAACTAAATGTTAGAAAGCTCACTCTTTATACTGAGCTAGAATGAGAAACAGAGACAACCCAAGGGCAAGTGGTAGAAAAGTAAAATGGGAAGAAGCCTGGGACCAAATTCCCCACAGTCATAATCTGGGAGATTAAAAGCCAGGGAAAAGTTGGACTGAGCCAACCCAGGGAAGGGTCAGTGGCCAGAGGCCCAAGGGATATAACCACAGGTCAAGGTACAAGATTACTGACACTATCTAGTTATTATGTATTAATTCAAAAGAAGCAGCTCTAGTTCAAGGAATGACCATCAGAATCACATAAGACCAGCAGTTTCCAATATAAATTAAGAGATCCTACAAAATAATATTCTAAAAAGCAAAAGAGACAGGTTTACACCCCTAAATAACCCACCCTGAAAGCTGAGTATAATCCTACATGGGGGTGGGGATAGGGAAATGAAACTTTAATGGAATAAAACTTTCAAGAATTTCTGATGAAAAGAACTATGAAATACAAACACAAGAGCCCAAAGAAATCTATAAAGGTAAATTTATGTGAACAACTAGAAGTGGCTGTATGGTGATCTAGATTAATGGGCAGAAAATAACAAGCGTCTCTTCAGAACCTTAGTGTCTTCAAAAGACAGTGAGGGAGTTAATAAAGACTTCAAAGGTCCTGAGGATTGATTGATTTTGTTCTGAGGGTTTTAAAAGGGTAAACAGAATATATTCGGGTAGAAAGGAAGGGGGCAGAACTTGTTTCTCATAACAGGAGTGTCTGAGAAGAGCATACAAATATGTAAGTGTTGGCAGGGGGGAAAAGCTATCAGACCAACCTCACTCCTATATGGAATAAAGAAAAGACAGCTGAACCCCCACCCCCCACACACACACACACATTCTGAATAAAAAGATGTCAAACTCAACAAATAGACAGGGAGGAATGGGGGAGGGGGATACAAGATGCAGGATAATATCAAAGAGGAAATGGCCACAAGTTACACAAACTCTCAGATGCTGACAGGGAAACTAAAAGGGAAAAGGAAATGAAAAAGAGGAAGTTACAAAGAAGCCTGGGTAGAATGAACTGATGTGGAGTGAAGTGAGCAGGAGAACAACTAACAAAGGACAACACTATTATATAGAAAAACAACTTTGAAAGACTTGAGAATTCTGATTAATGCAATGACCAACCATTTCTCAAGAGGACCTATAATAAAGCATCATGCAACCCATCTTCTTGGAAGAAAGTGATGAACCCAAGAAGACAAGACATATATTTTGGACCTGGCCACTATCAGGATTCATTTTGCTTGAGTATGCTTGTTTGTAAGAAGATTTTTTGTTTTTTCCTTTCTCTAGGCTTTTACTTAAGTGGGAGAGGGGAAGAGTCTGGGGTGGAGTGGGACAGATCTAGCAACAGTAATAGCCAAAAAAAGAGGGCCATTGTAACACTTTTTTAAATGCACTGAACAAAAGGAATTTTAGAAGAAAGCACAGACAAGGAGCAGCTTTGGACGTGAGATATGGAATTTATTATATATTTTTAAAGAAAAAAACTAGCATGGAATGGAGATTCACAGTTTTATATAGGATCCTCTTTTTTCTGTTATACTGTGTGTATAGGAATGATCTTTTGGTTGGTGTTTAAAATTCAGGATAAAATATTTTCCAAAAAAAACTGTAATGTATTAATTCAACTCAAAAACAAACACTGAGAAACATACTAGACTGGGTCAAATATAAAGAGTACAATTAAACCATCTGTTCTTCACCTTCAAAGTGAAGAACAAATAAAATCTGAGTATGTGGGAAATGGCCATTCATCATTAATAATTTCCTAAAAAAGAACTTGTTAAATTAAACACATAACACCAAGGGAAATTATATAATCTTTTTTTTTTATCTAGACATCATTTTTAAATGATAGGTTCACATCTTTGTGGATGGTTCTGCCTTAAAGGCATGATAAAGAACTACCCCCAATCAAGCAGATCTCAAGGGAAGAAATCCAAGCCATCCACAGGTATAGCTATATTCTAAACTATGAATAATTAGAAATGCAAATTCAAGCAACTCTGTGATTCTACCCCACAGGTCTAAGATTGGAAAAGTTGACAAAAAAGGAAAATGACAAATGTGAAAAGGGGCTGATGGAAAACATGACATTGATGTACTGTTCGTGGAGGTGTGAAGTGGTCTAGTCCTTCTGAAAAGCAATTTGGAAATATGCCCAAAACATAATTAAACTGTGCATATATTTTGACCTACTGATACCACTACAGTGGATACTAACAAATAGAGGACTATGCCCCAGAAAGACACAATAGAAAAGGTTCTATTTATATAAAAATATTTATAACCATTTTTTTTGTAGTGGCAATAAACTGGAAACTAAAGAGCTACCTATCAATTGGGCAATGGCTGAGCAAATTATGATATATAAATATAATAAAAATTTTGCTATAAGAAATGATGAAAGATGTTTTCAGAAAAACTTCAGAAGATCTGTATGAACTGAGGCAAAGCAAAGTTACAAGAACCAGGAGAATAATTTACACACACAAAAAAAAGACAAACAGCTCTGAAAGGCACAGAAACTCTGATCAACACAATGATCAGCCACAATTCCTAAGGACTCATAATGAAACAAGCTATCAACCCCTGGATAAGAGAAGCGATGGTCTAAATATATAAAATATTTTTTGACATGGCCAACATAAGAATGTTTTCCTTGACTGTGCATATTTGTTACAAAGATTTTCTTTTTCTCTCATTTGAGGGAAGAAAGACAAAGGCTTGATAACTGAAAAAATAAAGTTTAATTTAAAAATAAATAAAAATATCCACCCACAATCCTCCAGATTCCTTTCAGCCCTAGTATGTTGCAATTATTCTAATTTCATGCAGACAGAAATTTCAATACTAAATAGCAAACTTAGCCAAGGACGCACAGGATATTAGTTATAGTACATGAGACCCTAGCTACTTATTCAGTGCTCCTTTCACTAATTAGAACATAAACATTATGTAACGTAACACACCACACCAAAACTCCAAACTCTGGGTTCCTAGCCCCATACCAAATCCTTGAGTTACATTCTGTAAGGTTAGGTACTATAGTTTCCTCTACATTCTATCAAATATCCAGTACAGCCTGATTTTTGGATTTCCAAATGATAACTATAATGATGATTAAATCTTAATGATAACTATATGGGGAGAGAAATTCCAAGCAATTGATTTTTATGCCAAAATGATATTTCAATTTTCTAAAAAATATATGGAAACAAAACAACTAAATTCCTACAAATATGATGGTTCATCAATCAAAAAATCAAACTAAAACTGTCAATAAAAGACTGTCATTGATTTAACAAGATAAGAGTACTGGGGTCAGAGTATAGGGGATAAGGCTATAAAGGAGGCAGGTAGAACTTGGTTGTTTCAAGTCTGAGAAAAAAAGAGCAATACAGATACATACATGCACATGCATGTATATAGGGTGACAAATACAAAAGTACACAAAACAAGCATTCATAAAAGAATATCAGAAGAGTAGATAGGTAAAGGCATAGGAGTTAAAGAAGCAGCTGAGTAGATAGGAAAGTAAATACAAAATATTTAGTATAACAGAAAGAACATTGTATTGCCCTCAGAAACAAAAGTCTTAAATTTAAGTTCTGATCCCAATCCTTAATAGCTCTCTGATTCTGAGATGTCATTTAACCTTCTTCTGAACTTCAGTTTCTTCAGTTGTTAAATGAGACTAATACTTAGACTAACTATTCCCACAGGGTTATTGTAAGAAAAGTGCTTTATAAATCAAAAGCTATTTCACAAACGTGAATTATTATCATTTGAATATAATTTTGTAAATGTTTGGACTCAAGCAACTTACACACAAATCAGAAAGTTGTACTCAATTTTCAGAATGAGACTAAAACTGTAACTATTCATTTTTCATATGAAAGAGTTCAGACAATGGTATCAAGAAGGAAAACCAATTAATTAATCTTGAAAACTTAAGGACCTGTAATTTTGATGATCATTCCTCCCCTCCCCTTTACCAACCCAGACTGCAACCCTATGGCTTAGTGGGTCTTCAGTAGTTGTTGCAGCTTAAAAATTCACCATTCTTGAAAGCCAAACTGGTGATTTAAGCTTAAGATAAATACAAGCACAGAAAAGAAACATTAAAACATATGTATATTTTACTACCAATTAACACCCAATCTTACCTCTTGCCTTGAAAGAGTCATGGGCAATTTTTCCTCTGCCAGTTCTAGTTCTAATACTGGATTGGATGAAGTTAATGGTTTCTGATCTTCTTCTTTTGGCTGTACCTAAGCAAAAGAAATTCAGCTTACATAGTATTCTATAGTTAATACTTATTCTTTTATCAGTTTAATTGCTCATGAAATTGAAATCTCAATAAAAATACCAAGTTTTTTTTTTCTTTCCAAATGCTCTTCTGAGTCAGAAAATGCACATGCTTCTAAGTGCTTCATGGTAAAAATATTATCAAATTTATCAACCTAGGTGAAATTACAAAGACTACACACGCATAGAAGGCATTCATGATACAGAAGAGTACACATAACAGCCGCCCAAACAAAAAAAATGAAAAAAGCTATAAAATTTGGACTTTATGCATAAGCTATTTTTTCCAAAATACAATTTTAGAAAGATCTGTTCCAGTCAAATACTCTAAAGAACAAATTAATTGGGGACAGGGAGGTGGTGCAGTGGATAGGGCACCAGCCTTGGAGTTGGAAAGACCTGAGTTCAAATCTGGCCTCAGACCATTGACACTTACTAGTGACCCTGGGCAAGTCACTTAACACCAATTGTGGAAATAGGGAGGGAGGAAGGGAGGGAGGGAAGGAAGGAAGGAAGGAAGGAAGGAAGGAAGGAGGAAGGAAGGAAGGAAGGAAGGAAGGAAGGAAGGAAGGAAGGAAGGAAGAAAGGAAGTGCTCTTGTAAGGTGATCAACTGTCCTATTTCTGTTGTTACATATATACAATCCAACAAACAGAGAAAGGACTCACCGTCATCCCTAATATATTTTTACCTTATTCCGGCCTCATGCTAAAGAATAAAGAAAGACAAAAGCTCTATAGCAGTCAGCGGCTGGTGAAGCCACTAAATCCAACATTTTTTACTTTTTAACAAAATTATGTCCAACTGTACCAAATACATAGAGACCATAGAGGACACATCTGGAGAAAGGTCCATGAGTTTGTAGATCTGTTTCACATAAACATTCAACTATTCTAGAGAATATTAACAGAATGGTTATTAAAAATGCTAATTTATTCATGTCACATAAGTAGATAATCTTCCTCTAAATTTTTAAGGAAAATCCTTTCCCAGATTAGAGTTCCTTTTCCAAAGTACAGTTTTGGAAAACTGAGCTTAAAAATATGGATGGAGTCTACACCTTTTTCACAAAGGAGGAAAGTTTAGGTGGAGCCAAATTGTGAAGGTCTTTAAATGCCAAGATGGAGTTAATATCTTATCTTAGCGGAAATAGGGAGCCAATAAAGATTTTTGAGCAGGGCCAGTGATATAATTAGACCTGTGAAAAGAAGAATATTATTTTAGCAGTTGTATGGAAAATGGATTAGAGATAGAAAGACTGGAGGTAGGGACACAAACTAGGATACAAACTATTGCAATATCCATGTAAAAGGCAACGAACTACTTAACTAAGATAGTGGCTGTTTAAGTGGAGAAAAGGGGACGAGTGGTTACAAGAGATATTGTCAAGATAGAATCAACAAGATATGGCAGCCAATTATGTATGGGAGGTGAAGGAGAGAGGAAACTCAAGGACATCTCAAAGTGTAAACCCCAACTATTGGAAGAATGAGTTTAAGTGAAGTTTGGAGGAGGTACAAACTTAAGGCATGTGAATACAGTTATCTCTTCCACATCACCGGGGTTAGGGATACAGTGTCTGGGCTCTCTGGAAAATCTGCATAAAATTTTTTGGCCCTCCCTTTGTACCAGAAAAGAAGTCTCAATTTTTTCTTTTTCTTTTATGGGATGTTTACAGTACCTTACTGTAATTTAGATTAAGTATCTGGTTAGAGGCTCCATGTAGTCTGTTAGCCTTTGTGTGTTATCTGTGGCTTCTACAAAACTCCAAAAAATTCCCATTTAATTTCTTACGCTGACCCTTGATATACTGAAACCACAATGGAGAAAGTTGCAACATGGAAGGGATAACTGTACATCCATTTTAGACAGAATTAGGTCTAAGACACCAACAAGATACCTGGGTAGAAGTTTCTACTAGGAAGTTGTTAATGTGAAACTAGTGCTCAGAGGAGAGTCTGAAGCTGTATATATAAATTTGGGACATTAAATGCATAGGAATAATGACTTCCTACAGAAGAAAGGTAACGGGATCACGAAACGAAAAGAAAAAGAAAGAGGAAGGAACAGGACAAAGCCTTCGAGATGGCACATTTACAAGAAAGAAGATCTATTATGCTCCAGCAAAGGAGACAGAAAATGAACAGTCAGACTAGTAATCAAGCAGTAAAGCCAGAAAAACATGGAAAATAGGGAGGACAGACTATCTAGAAGAAGTGGCTGATAGTGTGAAAAGCTGGAGAAAGTTCAAAAAGAATGAGGAATGAGAAAAGGCTAGAGAATCTCAGCACAGAGGTAGTAGACTATAGCTCTGGGGAAAAGTATATATTCTAAAACATGGCCAATGTGTTGATTTGTTTTACCTGACTACAATTATTTGTTACACACAAATGTTGTACGTGGCAGAAAGACAGAGAATGAGGGAACAGTGTCAGTAGGAATTGACAATGACATTTTAACAAGAAAGGAATATTAACAAAACTTTTTTTAAGAAAGAAAAGGCCATAAGATTTAGAAATTAAAACATTATTGGTAATTTTGGGAAAAGTAATTTCAATTGAGTGGTAAATGGCAGGTGAGGAAATGAAGACAGTAAGTCCAGACGGCTTTCTAGGAGTCTGACTGTGAAAGGTAAAAGAGGTAAAATGACGACTTTAGTGGATAATAACACAGTGATTTTTTTTAAAGGATAGAGGGGATCCAGGCAGATCTATAGACAAAAGAATAGAGGCCAGTATATAAGGAGAAAGTAAAATGAGAAAAGATATAATCCCTGTGACCAACTCCTGGAGAGAGAAGAATAAATAGGATCAACAGTATAAGCTGAAAAGCTTAACTTGGAAAAAAAAAAAAGGTGGTATCTGTCCGGCAAAAAAAAGGTGGTGTCTGTCAGAGACTAGCACAAAAGACGCAGGAATGGGATGCAATGTGGAAGGATTTGGAGGTATGGAATAGGAAGAAAAGAGGGAGCTCATAGTAACAGACAGCTTCAATTTTCTCCATAAAGTAGGAAGTAAGGTTCTTTGCACAAAGTGACCACAAAGGCTTAAGAAAGTTTGGAAAAGGCACGGTGGGGAAATGCAATGGAGACACTGGAGATTTCCATTTAGCAATGAAGGCTCGGTTGAGACAACAAATCAGTAGTGGACCCTCAGGGCATGGTTGTATGACTTCTTCAAATGGCATTTAATAGTACATAATAAGAGAAGAGAAAGTGAAAGCTAGGAATAACCAAAATTGGGGTTTGGGATGGTCTAAATAGGACAAAGGACAAGAGATTCAAAGAGAGAAAACAGTGTCTAGTTAAATAGTTTCAATGACAAGGTCAAAACTAGGAAAGGAGTAAAGAAAGGTGAGGATGGAGATGATGGCCTGGGAAAGCAGGGGTACAGTAACAGGTCAGAGAGAGAATGAAAAATAAGTTTAGGAGGAATAAGGTAGAGAGTGGAGAGGGAATGAGAAGAGGCTACGATCAGAGGGAGGAATCTGAGAGTTCTGGATCATGGAATTAGAAAGTTACAAATGATAAGATCAAGGGCTTGACTATCCCTGGTTGTGAATGAGGTAGAGTAAAGGTATAGATCAGAGTGTGCTAGTTAATAAAGTGGGATGCCATGAATCTAACAGTGCTGTGTAGCAAGCCTGGATTTGAAACCAGAGAATTTGGGTTCAAATCCTGTTACTTACTACCTATTAGACCTTAGACAAGTTACTACACCTCTCCGGGCCTCAGTCTCCTCATGTGTAAAATAAGGGGTTGGCCTTGAAGACATCCAAGATGGAAGACATCCTTCCAGTTCTAAATTTATGAGTCTATTTATAAGAAAGAAATAATATTTATAAGAACAGAAGTAACAACTCCACAAGGAACAGGAAAAAATAAATTAATTACTTAATTAATAAAAAGCTCTTTAGAAAGCCAGGCCTGTGCTTCCTAGTTAGGAATAGAGATAGATATTCCCCAGGTCCAAAAAGGTATTCACAAATTGCAAAGAAAAATCTTACTTTTTATTATAAAATGACAGTTAATAGCTCTGGGGAAAAGATCTGAGACATTCTGTCAAGTGAGCTCAAAGTTACAAGCAATATCCTTCCAGTAATTATCTTGCTTCAGTGCTCTCTCTTCACAAGCAAATAAAATACACATCACTAAGATTATCTAAGCAAAAGAATCCATTATTTTAAAAATATTATTCCCTACCTCATTAAGCTAAAAAGGAACAGAGGGATCTGGAAGGGCATGGGAAAATGGACTAAATATATAGTTAATGCTTCCTTGGATCAAGTCTAAATCAGAGAAATTGGAAGTAGTAAAAAAGTAATTCAATACTTGCTACTTAATTTCCCACACTAAGAACAAAGGAAATCAACACATGTTAAAAAAAATCAGAATTCAAATAGTGTTTTCTATTTGATGCTATTAGGAACATAACTACTTTCTCTTTAAATATCAACCTTCTCACCAAACCTACAAAAAAAAAACCTGAATGCACATACAAGCTGTGTGAGTTCCAAATGCTGCCTTCAAAACATTGGTATAAAAACTTGCTTTTCATAAGTTTTTCTCCCTAAACTACATGCACAATAGTAACTACATTTTAATAACTAAAATTGAAACCTTACAGAAGATTAAGTGAAATTCTCCCAAAAGATCCTTTAACTTTTAGTAGAAAAACTGACAAGGCTACAGGAAGTCTTACAGGACAATTTTATCATAACTCCTCCCAACTCCATAAAAGCTAACCCTGTCAACAAGATAAAGTTAAAGATAATTTCTTTCATGCTACTAAGAGATATAATAAACAAAGCCTTCCCAAAGCCTCATTTGTTTCAAAAGTGCAGAAAGTTTAAGATTAGTGCTTGAAATGTGTTGTCTTATTAAAAACAAAGGCACATAAATGCTAGGTGGCACCATTTTTCATGCAGTGGATCTTCAGGGCCAAATAGAGTTATTAATACTATAAAATATCTGTTTAAAAGCAGAACAAATATGTCTATCCATTTTTAAACTTTTTTTAAAGTACATTATTTTTACTTTTGGTTAATTTGGAGACAGTGGTGATGGTTGTGGCAGAGGAGATTAACATGGCCCCGTGTCAGATCCAGTACTTACGTCCACAGAAAGAAAGGCAAAATTTTAAAAAGAAAATTCAAGCTTTGATTTCAAGCCACTTCATGCTATTCACAAAAAGCCAAACCATAACACAAATTCCAAAGCCAAATATCATGCACGTTCTTCCTGCATTTAAAAATGCTTTAAAAAAAAAACATACACCAAAAACTCATACCTCTCCAGTTGGCTTCTCATTTATAGGCTAATGTATAATAATGACAAATTGAACAGAGAACAACAATTTATTGTCATTTTTTAAAAATCCAAACACATTTTGAAACTCATAAATATACAATTTAACATAACTCTTTAAGGTTATATAAGTTGCATAATAGTTGCTGTGCACTGCTAGAGGGAGATTCTTCAATGGGAGGTCCCTTCATGATGAAACTAGAGGTCTGTGGAAAAAAAAATAACAATTCATACCTTGTAGCCACATCTTTCAAAGTAAGCCTCCTCTTCCTTTTTGGCAAGTTCACTACGCTTGAAATATCTCTTACTTTCCTATTAGAAAGAAGTAAATAGGTTAATATAACTCTTAGACAACATTTCCTGTCCCCATGACAATAAGTATTAATCCCACAGGTTTAAAAACTGTCCCTACTGCTTCAATTACATCAATTCCAAGCAAGTTAAGTACATTTTACCAATTTTCAAAGTACTGATGTGTGAAAATGCAATAGCGTGTTAGCATGTGTTCTTCAGGAAACAAAGGAAGCCAACAGAATGAAACTCACAGATTTCATCTTCTTTGATTTAATTTTATATTGTTTTATTTGAAAGATAACCTTTGCAAAAATGACTCATGATTGATCAAACATAATGGTATACTTAAATTACTATTCCCTACTAACTCACATAGCCATAGATAACATATGGTACGTGTGTTGTACATGTTAAAATCCTATTACAATGAGCTCCAAGGGATTATCCAAATTCTTTTTTGCCATTTGGAATACCTTTGATTTCTTAAAGTAGGCAGGGAATACAGACTATGTCTAGGGAATATTTTTTTGTTACAGATTTCTAGAATGGTACTGTAATAGAATTTGATGTTATGAAATACTCTTCAAATCTGATGGTGCTGAAAAGAGAGATGGACAACAAGCAATTCTTTTTATACTACCCACAAACTTACCTTTAATTTTTTTTCTACAGAAACTACATGTGAGGCCTGTTTCTAGCTGTAGCTCTTTCTATTAGACATCTGTTCACAGTATCTTAGATTCATAGCTAAAAAGGACTGTTTGGGATCATTTAGTCCAAATCTTCTAATTTTAAAGATAAGGAAAATGAGACCCAGAGATGCTGAATGAGGAAGTGGCAGAGCCAAAGACGAAAACTATGAAGGTCTTCTAGCTCCAAATCTAACCACGCATTCAAATGACCACCTCCCTATGCCTTAAGATTTTTATATAGCAGTTGAGCTGGCAAAGACAAAATGAGCAGGAACTCTAGGTGATGCCTATTTATGAGGCATTTTTAAAGGGAATCTATTCAATTTTCTTACACAGATTTTAGGCTATCCATTAGCAATAATCATCTAGCAAGAACTGAAATCCACCATCCACCTATTAATATCTACTTAACTGACAGCCACCTTGACATTGGATGATCTCCCTAAGCAGATATCACTAATAATGATTTCCTTTGGAATCCTATTTATTTTATGCATTTAAAAACTATATTCTGAGAGGGGATCCATAAGGTTCACAAAACTACTAAAGGGGTCTGAGATAAAAAAAAAAGGGGGGGTGGGGGTTAAGACCCTTCACTTTAACCTTACTATACTTGTTTCCTTATCTATAAAATGGGGGTGGTTGCTGTAAGAATCAAATGAGATGCTTGAAAAGTGTTTTACAAATATTAAATTCTGGTTATATTATCATCACTTATAGGTACTATTAAAACACAATTACAGAATCTCTGAGCAGGAACAGATAATTTATTCTAATCCCTTAATTTTACAGATAAGGAATCTAAGGCTCAGAAAGATTAAAGATATGCAATTAAAATTAGCAGGAAATGCAGAAATAGACCCTAGTTCTACAGAATCCCAAAGCCATTTTGTACTATGCTACCTAATATTTATAAGGAATTTTATATTTTTTAAAAGCACTTCATATTTCATTTGACATTAACAAAGAAAAACCTGTGAAGTAGATGTAGCTAGTATCATTTCTCCCATTTTACAACAAAGTGATTGAGATTCACAGAGATTAAGAGACTTGTCCATAGTCACATAGCAAGTTAAGGAGCAACACCAAGAACAACCAGGTCTTGGTTCCTAGTCTAGTGTTCTTTTCACTACAATCCAATAGCCTGTGAAATTATACTTCAAAATGCTTTTTATTATTTGTTTTAATCATCTGCTTATAATTATTCTATTAAATAAAAAGGGCTGTGACACTAACTAATCAACATATTTCTTGACACTCATACTATCATTCATCTTGTGCTCCAGGGTAATTTAATTCTTGTGGACTGGCTGTGTTTTAGTGAAAATTATTCCATCTTATCAACCAGTTTGTGTATGGCCTTTAGGTACACTAATGAAATTATTCAAAAAGCCCTACTTAAAATCTGTGCCAACCTTAAGTCCTGCACTATATTGAAATTTGAAGATAAATTGTCTTAGAAAACTCCAATATGATTAAGAGTACCATGCCACATTGGCAGAACACATTATAGGACCATCTTTGAGAGACATGCTAGCCAAGATTCTTTTTTTCTGCTTTAAATTTGTCAACCAATAATTTGACAGCACACTACCTAATATGCAAAAACTAAAGAGTTTTCAAATCTAATGCCAATGAAAATCTGTGGTTCCATATGTGGTTCCCCTTGTGAGATGGTCTAGTATACAAGTTCAACCTCGCTCAGAATTATTACTAATATACAGTTCAAAATCTATTGCATGTCTGACAATCAAAAACACATAGCAGATCTTGACAGATTATCTCAATATCTTTTGATAACATTCCTAATCTATTCAAGTTAAAGGATTTGTTCATGGGGCAGTTAGGTGGTGCAATGGATGGAGCACAGGCCCTAGAGTCAGGAGGACTTAAGTTCAAATCCAGCCTCAGACACATGACATTTCCTAGCTGTGTGACTCTGGGCAAGTCACTTAACCCCGACTGCCTCACCAAAAAGAAAAAAAAAAGGATTTGCTCAAAGAACAAGAAATACAGCACCAGCTTCTCAGAAGATGGTAGCTTCTCTGAAAATTTGACACATTGCAAAACACCTGACTCATATTGTAGGAAAATGGAACAAAACCCAAACCTGAAAATTCAAAAGAGGAAGTTTAGAAAACAGGATTAAAAATCTAAGTATGAAGGCAATGACTTAAGTTACTAATGAGCCATAATATCTAAGTTGACAAGTTCCAGTCTTATGTAAAGCTTAAGCAAATTTTAGCAAGCAGCAATTGAAAAAATTTACAGATTGCCTCCAGAAAACTCAAAGCTGTAAAACTCTAAGACATATAGTTGTTAAATATAATAATTCAATTGAGAAATAAGTTCTATAAGCAATAAGAAGAAAGAGCTTCAAATACAAAGGAAAGGACATTCAAATAACACAAGACTATTATGCACCCACTAGAAAACATAGGAGGGAATGGAATAATGTGTTCTGAAGAGCAATTGAGTTCAGAATTAATCCAGGGGGGCCAACCCTATAAATCTGAATTTAACCAATACATGAGCAAAGATGGCCATTCAATAACAAAGAGAAATTTCAAATATTTTGGAAAGAAAAACTAGAAATGAAGAGATTGTTTGCTTCTTGAACATCCAAACAAAAGAAATGCAGGAATGAATAAACACAGCAGCCAAGGATAGCAAAAGCAACAATGACAGCAAAGAGACTTCTTTCTAAATGTACTTAAGGACACAAGGTAAAGGCAGAAATCTGGGAGACAGCCGTGAAAAGAGACAGACAGGGTGCATGCACTATGGACAGAACCTGGAGACCCCTTGCCTATAGGTAAATCAGTGGAACTCTATTATAACATGAGAGGGTACATGTAAGTAGAAGAGGAGAACAGGGGAACAAAGAGGAGTATGTGATGTGCCAGGGTCAAATTAAGGGCTAGCAATGAGAGAAAGATGGCCTCTGTGGTCTCAGAAAGAGAAAAGGGAATGAGAGAGTAAAGAATGAACTCAGGGCAGGGATGGAGGTGGGGAGGGGGAAGGAAGGAGGCCTTACTTGGGTGGTGAGATTCCAATGATGAACATTCCCATGAGTAAAGAGAGATGGTTTTTGAAGGGAGACAGGGACCTTATACTAGGTATGGCCTGGGGGGATCTGCTGCTTGAAAAGCCTATTTGTCCTACAAGGTGGGGGTAGGAAGAAGTAGGGAGGAAGTTAGAACTCCTGGGTGCAACTGACATCTGGAGGAGTGAAGATTATAAGACCAAGAGTTAAAGCAGGAAAGAACCATAGAGAAAGTCTGGTCTAAACCCCTCATTTTAAAGATGAGGAAATTAAGACCCACAGAGTTTAAGTGACTTGCCTAAGGTAACACAGGTACTATAAGCAGTAGTACCAAAATTTGAAACTTGGTCTTTGACTCCAAAACCATTGTTCTTTTCCACTGTACTATGCTATTACGTTAGAAACAAAAATCTAATTTAAATTGCTAATCCAAAAACTACTAAAATAGTTAGAAGTTTTCTCCAGGATAACTGGATAAAAGGCACAATATAAACTTAATATGATTATGATCATATGGAGTATATAGAACTGTATCTTATACCTATGACACTTAGAATCTTCCTCAAACAGTCCATTCTGATCCTTGAAATGGTTATATCACTGAACCATAAAGCTATGTTACATCAGACCTCATCAACAAGGAGGTCATAAAATTCAGCAAATCTACCAGCAAAGAAATACTTGCTTCAACACAGTATGTGCAAAAAAATGACAGCAGGATATCTAAGCAGATGATTTAAGGTATACTGAAGTGGACCAATCAAAAACCTAGCAGGAAGAAATTACAGTCATACATAGGACTATTCCAGGCAGTACTTCTTAGTAACAAATACTGGGTAGCAGAAAACAAATTTGATACGAAATGGGCTAATGCCTCTCTTGAAACAAGGGTATCATGTGAAAAAGCAAAAAAAAAAAAAAAGCTGCAGATAGCAACCAATCCTAAGTGACTGTAACATAAAATGATTATAACTTCAAAGCAAAAGCCAGTCTTCACCTAACTTTAACGTTTTGAAAAGGTCTCAATGATCTTCTCAATAGCATTAAATATATGTTAAATAACTGCCCAGAGACATCTTCTAACATGAAAAAATATTCATTTCAACAATATCGGGCAAATCTTTACTTAAAGTAACACTAACCATATCTTCTCCTAATGAAAAGCTACTAAGTATGGCATGGGAGGACAGAAATTTCAGTATACTGCTTCCCATCTTTACACCTACCTACTTTGGTCTGCTCATCTGTCCTTTTAAAATAGGGGGCATCAATATTAACTT